ATCCTAAACCAGTGGCAGACAATAGAAGGTGTAAGAGCTGCATTTGTACCTAAAAATTTTGGTACTACAATAAATAATTTTTTATTTAGCTTTAAAAAATACAAATCAAATGTAATACTTACAACATACAGTGTTACTTGTATTAAACTGCCCGCTAGACCCCTAATATTATTTTCCTGTTGTCATGACATTTAAACCTTTGCTCCTCCACTGTCCTGGGCTCAAAATATTACCTCAAATTATTAACGTTTTGTGTTGTGGTATTAGTCCATACAATGTTCAGAACTACTGTATAGGGCATTGCTTTGTTTTCTAATTTTCCTTACAACTTGTTCATGTGATTTGATATATATATATATATTTAAGGATATAAGTTACTGATTCTGTATTTCAAAGAATTTTGTTGTAGACATTCCAATTTAAATCTGACAACAATTAAAATGACATTAAACTTCAGACTTTCTCTCAAGCTAAGCTAACTTCTTGAGCTTAATATTTTTATGTCAAGAAACTTCATTTGGATTTGTTCTTATTCCTGGATATTCCATCATTTAATACTAATAACCTTAAATTGGATTATCTTGTAGATTTATGAATCTTGCAAATATTCAAAGTGCTCATAAAGACCTATTTTTCAGCACACCATGATAAAAAGTGTAAAGTAGTTTAAGACGTAATAGAAATGTGTTATATTGAACAGGTACTACATATTCTGATAGCATAAAAAGTTTTGGTGCAAACTTCTATCTCCTCTAGATGAGGATCCTAAAGGTGGCTTAAAACATTCTGTCCATATGTCTAATTGTGCTGGTACATTAGCATTCTGTCTAGGATTTACTGTTTGATCCTAAAGTTGACTTGAAACATCTGTCTCTGTGTATCTAATGTGTTGGTAAGTTAGCATTCTGTCCAGGATACACTGTATGATACTAAAATTGAGTTCAAACATTTTGTCTCAGTATTTCTGATGTGTTGGTTTGTTCTGTCCTGGATATATTGTGGCTTTTCAATATGTCTCATACTGTTACATTTTAGGTCTTGTTGTGGCATAGAAATAAAGTTATCATTGTGATCTGTTAATTTTGAATTCAAAAACAATTCTTAAAAGACATATTTGAAAATCATTTTTTGGTTGTTGTTTTCTTCAGATTTTGAGCAACTTTTCAAGTACAATAGCTAATTTGCCTAGACTATTTTTGTATGCATGTTGAACTTTGGCATGTGTCTGCATTCTTTCATACTAATTGGTCAGAAATATTTTCAAATAAATGTGTAATTTTTTGATTCATTACTTGATATGTGAGAGTGGTCATTGGTGCTTCACTTGTAATGTGATGGTACTCACAAAAGCATATAATTTAAGGTCCCCTTGTAGATCAGTAACATGCATGCAGTTTTTGATTTGTGTGTACAAACTTGTTAAGTGTAGTTCAAGTAATATTCTTGCTTTCTTAAGTTTATATTATGATTCTGTTGAGCATAGGTTTAAGAATAGTATAGTTCTGTGTTCATATATTCAGGACAAAGCACGAAAGAGAAAAATGGTTCAGTAACTATATCCGCAGTGCTTTTCCTTTTGGTCTTATGATTTAGCTTCCTATATCATACAATTATTAAAATTATATTATTTTTTACAAGTTATTATTATTAATAATATTTTACTACAAACAGGTACAAATACAACATAGAGTATGGAAAAGTTCTGGAAAACACCATGGCACATGACGATGCAGGTAAGCTTATAACAGGTACTTGTATACATAGCATCAGTAGGGTACATATTAAACACATTCAACATCAGTATTTAAAGTTTCAATGTAGTTAATGTAAATTGGAGCATATGCTTATATATATTCAAACACTTTTTTTCTTTTGTAGTACATCTTAATAGTTTGAAACCAGAGGGGAATTTCTCACAAGAAAGTACTGGTACTCTTATGCATACAACAAAGGATTTTACTTCTATGTATAATTTATAATGTAGTTTACTACTAAAAAAGAAAATCCCCCCCTTTTTTTATTTCTGTTAAATTACTAAAAAGTATATGTGTTAATATCAGGAGTGGGTACTAAACACAGCAGCAGGTACTAAAATGTATCATTTGGATATATTTATCATTATTGACCAATCATAAAAATCATAATGCTAGATGAGACTAGTTGATTGGTTACTTGTTACCAACAAGAATTAATGTTGTTAGGTCAGTTAATGTTTCATTTAAAGAATATTTAATAATTGTTTAGATTCTGTGAGTTGTGACATGTCTGCTTTCTGGGTTGGATGAAAAGTATATCAGATTTGTCCCAGTACTGAGTACTGGCATAAAAATAAGTCCTAGCACTGAGTATTTTCTGGATCAAACTTACCTAGTTTAAGATGTAAGTTTCATCCTTGCATCACACTTTAACTCTGTATATGGTTTCAGTCATTTTCATCATCCTTGTAACCACTATGTAATCATGAAACTATACATACTATAATCTGTAATGTACTAAGTTTTATATTCAAGAAAACTGGCAAGCTGTTGTACCCAAAAAATCAATTTTTCATAAAGTATTTTTTACTAAAGGTTTATGTGTGATGCCTTTATTAAGTCAGTTAGAGTGAAAGATTATTTTCACACTAAGAATGAAAATACTTATTTTGATGTTGCTATTTTCATATTTCATTTGCATAACATCCAAATTTTATATTATGGTTGTCAACATCTATAGCACATGTATCTAATCCACTGAACACTGAAATGCATATATTAGTAGAAATAATAACTAAAATGGGGGAGTCAATTCGCATCATGTAACATAGAGTTCAGGATTGAGAATATATTGGAATTTATTTACTTAAGAAATTAAAGCTTAGATAATATGAAAATTGTAAATATAAACAACATTTTGGTGACAATCTTATTGACATACATTGATAATAAAGTAGTTTAATTAAGTTCTGAATGTAATTGTAAAAATGTTATGACTTGCACACTTTGACCCATCCATATGCATAGGGTCAACTTACTTTTATTATACAAAATATAACAGCACACATACTGAAAATAAGCTGTTGTCGTTTTTTTGTTTGTTTTTTAAGATTCAGTTTTATTCATCCATTTGAAATATTTGTTAACTCTGCTTTGTTTTACTTCTTATTTGTTTCTACAATGTAATTAGACCTGAGTGTCTGATTGGATTATATTTGGTACTTTGCTCGGTATTTAGCTGATTTTGAATTGCTGTTCTTTTTGTTTTTTAGAAATTAGCTAAGATTCATTATCCAGCATGCTAACACTGTAACTTTAGCTTAACTCTCTTGCTGTGAGCCCTCAAATTGACCTTTAGAAATTCCATACTATAATTTTTAATATTTACTGTGTATTTTCACAAAAATTTGCAAGCTTTAAATATTTTTTTCATCTGGAAATTTTACAATTGAAATTGCATAATCTTTAAAACCTCCTAAATAAATATCAAACTTTTTTCTTCAGAAAAACTGTATATTTTATCTGTTATTTTCTCTAACCTAGTTCTGTACAAGTTTGGTTGATTTGACGACCTCATCACCACCATAAAAAAAATAGGATTTAAATGTAAATTTTTTTATTTCTAGAATGACTGTAAATTGTAACAGGAAACAACAATTGTTTATTCTAAATAGTTTAAAACTTGTAACTGTATATATCTATTTATAATTAAATTTTAATGTTTTATTGCCCTTTGAACTGTGTCTAACTAATAATCCCACCACACAAGTCTTCCATGTCTCTCTGTTGAAATCCAAAATTCCAACCTGTCTCTCATGCAAATCATCATGCATCAACTCTCCACCAATAGGGGAGCACTACTATCATGTTATGCATGTGACTCCCTCTATGCACCACTACTGACCTATCATTTCTCATTTGGCAGGGCTTGAGTGCAGATATCTTTCTTTAGACCACTGATTACCCTAGAAGTGGTTTAATTTTATTTAAATTAGTTCAACTTCATTTAATTTCACTTTTATTTTAGAGTGTTTGATTTACCCATGTTTGCTGTGCATTTTTAACTTGTTTGGTATCTAGCTTGGATTCTGAAGTCGCTGTTACCACTTTGGGTGCATATCACTCATCCCTTACTGCACTTTTGGCCACAGGTGCAGGCGACCCATCAGGGGATTTCTCGGCCTTTGTTCGTGTGGAGATGGAGCATTATATCGAATGCATATTGTCTCCTGTTCACGCCTTTTATCCTCCTGTACCTTTCTAGCCTTTTACTTCGCAGACTGGTGCAATTTTTATCTCTCTCCCACACAGTGTTCACTGTGCCTTCCCACACTTTCCTTAGGATTCTGTTCAGCCTTCATCAGATTTCTTTGAGATTATATCTCAGGTATATCATGTTTATCCCATTCCTTAGTTATTTTGACCCATCCTTCCTTATTGCTTGTTTCTACCTTTCTCCTTTTGGTTTTACCTGTTTTGGAGGATGGGTCCCGATTTTCCTGTTCATCCTACCTTTGCCCCATTTTCCAACCTTGGTCTTCCTCTGACACTCTTTGTAATACCTTGCCTCAATTCTCTTCCTGTCTGAGGCTCTTCACGAGAACCCTATGGGGTTTTCTGGGGACATCCTCGTCCTCTTCCCTTCCACTGTCAAATGAGTGTTATTTTTGGCTTTGATCCTACACACGTGGTTCACTTCTCTTTAGGACTTTTTGGGTCACTATATTCGGGTGTGGTTCTGAGTCCCATTTCCCAACCTTACCCTTCACAGCCTTGCTTGTCCCAGCTTCCCGTGGTACTGCAGTTTGCTGTTTTATGCGGCAATACATGGTATGCAGGCAACAGTTCCGGTGACTTCCTGGTTAGTTTGGTACAGGTTGTAGCTTGTATGGCGAATTTCGTTCATCAGAGCAGCCCTTTCCTCTATGAAGTTCGAGTTTGTGGTGTTCTATCAGAAGGTTTTGTCATACTCTTTTCCCCTCTCTCTCATATCCTTCCTCTTCCTTGGGATCCCTGGTCACGCCAGTGTCTATCCGAGGCAGTACTCGACCTCCTCACCCAATAGGTTGTTGTACCTGCTCCATGCGAGTCCTGCTGGTTTTACTCCCGCCAGTTTGCCTGTCATGGGCTGGTATATCTTTTTAGTGCCCTGTCCTTCCGTCTGGCTTCTGTGCCATATATTTTTGTCCAGTGGTTCACTCCTTTGCTCGGCATATTCATTCCCTGGGGCTGCGCTTCCATATGTACGTGAACGACTGGTTTCTTCTTGCCCATTCTGAATGGGTAGTCAGCCTTTCAAACTCGTCAGCTTCTTCTCGAAGTTCTGCGGGTGGGATAATTGGTCACATTGGGGGGGTCCTTCATCCGACCTAGTATCTTGTACATCTGGGTGTTTTCTTTAACACTCATCTCTATTTGGCCCACCTTCTCCACTTCAACTTCATTCTATGGAACTGGCTGTTTGGACAGCCCTGTCTGCTCCCTTACTTACTACTGGCAAGGTTTCTATCACTTTTGGAAAGGTGGTCCTCACTGACTTCTATCATACCCCTTGGCAGGGCTCATATGCATTTGCTTCAGTGGGCCCTTCATGGCCAGTGGAATCTTGCACGGGATTCTTTAGATGCTCCTATTCACCTTCCTTCCTCCTTGATGGACAATTTCCATTGGTGGTTGGACAAGGCCCATACTTCGGCGGGTGTCTTGCTTTCTCGTCCATGACCAGAGTTACAGATACATCCCTTCAGGGCTGGGGTGCATGGTTCGATCACCCAGAGGTTTTGAGTTATTGGTCTGTGGAAGAACGTTCTCTTAATATGAACGTCCTGGAACTCCTGGTTGTTTATTGGATCATTTTTTTTCTATCAACAACAGTCACCTGATTATGATCCATTCTTACAGTTCTACAGTGGTAGCCTATATCAATCACCAAGGCGGCACCTGGTCAAGATCCCTGTGTTTCTAACATTGTATCTTATCTGTTTGGCCCACTCCCATCACATTGATGGTGTGTAATATTCTGGGTGCATTCAATCTGGTGGTGGATCACCTTTGCCACCGCCCTCAATCAAAAATTACCTGTTTTGGTCCCCAATTCCCCATCCTAGGGCTTTGGAAATAGATACCTTCAGCTAGAATTGGTCCCACCCGTTTCTTTCTTTTTATCCTCCTATCTGATTACTTCATCAGGTAGTCTCCCTTATCCATGCCACTCCATACAGAGTCCTTCTGATTGCTTCTTACTGCCACCCTTAACCATGGTTCCTTTAGTTGCTTTGGTTCCAGATGATCCCTGCTATCCCTCTTCCAGACCTGTTACATCAACCTCAGTCACCAGTTCTACATCCCGCAGTTTCTTTTTTCAGACTTCATGTTTGGCTTTTTTCCGGACTCTTTCAAGGAGTTCCTGATCCTTTTGCTGAGTAGCTTCTCATTTAGCCCATTCCATTTGTCTTTTCTCCATGGCTGTTTACTGATGGAAGTGGAGTGTTTTTCTTTCCTTGGTTTTAGCTCAAGGTTTCCAACTTCTTGACCTACAGTTATCGGTGTCTCAGAATTCCTTACCTGGCTCTTTGAGAGGGGTTTGTTGGTCTCCTCGATTTTGGGTTTTCAGATAGCCTTATCCCATACTTTCTGTTTTTCCTGTTTCTGCCAGGTGTTTTCCTCCCCAGTTCTTTCCTTGTTGATCTGTTCTTTCCAGCTGCTTCAGCCACCAAGATGTCCATCACTTCCAGACTGGGACATTAACGTGGTCCTCCTTACTCTTACTTTACCTCTATTCTAACTCATTTCTTCCTGTTCCTTGTTTCACCTTTCCCTTAAGGCATATTTTCTCCTGCTACTGGCTTGTGGTCATTGTGGATTAGATATTTTTGCTCTCGACATCACCAGGACCTTGTATCTTTCAACCTACCTCATCCTTTATCCAGATCATGCATTCCTTTCCCAAACCTTGGTGGCTCGTGAGGGTGATTCTTCCTTTTTCCCTATCTCACTTCCCTCTATCGTGGTGATGATGACAAAACCTTGTCGAAATGTTGTGCATTTGCTGTTATGTTAAACTTATATTAAAGTTTTTATTCATTATCCATTCAAGCCATCTCCAGCCATTATTAGTCTCAAAGTGGGTTCCTCATCATCAAATCATCCTGATCTTTTATAGACTCCTCTGCCCAGGACATGCCCTCCATTTTTATATTGCGCACATGCCTTCCTTCTGGGGTTTTCGTTCCTGCCTCTTTATCCCAAGCCAAACTACCTTTTCCCATGATTTTTCCATTCTTACCTTGACCAGTTGGGTTTGTTGTTTGATCTAGTTAGCTTATTCCTCCTTGTCCCACTCCCATCTTGATCTCTTTCCCATGTCTTACCATCAAACCTGACTTCTTACCTTCTCCCTTGCTTCTTGTCTTCGTCGGTCATTGGAGGAGATTCTACAGTAGGGCATGTGGACGACTCTGCACATTTTTATCTCCCACTAGTTTCACCACATCCCGATTCCTGCTTCCTTGGGGTATCACCTACTGCATGTGGCTATTCTACAGGCTTCGGTGTAGCTTTGACACTAGATAGGTCTTTACTTATGCTTTCTTTTCTTTCAGGGGCTCTTGCTTCAACTTCACTTCGTATCCCGCTCTGTATGTTGGTACCCAGCGAGAGAGGTTTTGAATGTAGTTGATTACCAAGTACAGTCTGATGTGCCCTAGCAACTCTACACCATGGGGCACATCCTCCATTACCCACTTTCATTATGTGGGATTGAGTGTATCTGTTTCTTTGATTGGGACCACATTACAGACCTATCCTCTCCCACACGGATGTGCTCCCTTTATATTCCGCCATATTTTGATCCCACCTGTTCATAGCGAAGCAATACCTGGTTCAGATGCAGTGGGGGAGCCCTTCCTCAGATCATCAGATCTGTTTCTTTTATCTCCAGGGGTATCCTTTGGATGCTTTCGGGGGATAAGCCTGTTCTGCCCTCGCACTGGTCCCTCCTCCTTTTTAATGTGGGATTCAAGCTAATCTTGTGAGAAGAGGGAAGGTACCGTATCGGAAGTTATAATGTTCCTATACGAAAATGTATTTCCAATAGGTACTTCCCACTCTTCCTTCCCAAAATTATCCAGTATTCACATCTTCTCCCAAACTTCGAAGTGATAGTTCGGTAGTGGTGCATAGAGGGAGTCGCATGCATCACATGATAGTAGTGCTCTCCTACTAGTGGAGAGCTGTTGCATGATAATTTGAATGAGAGACATGTTGGAACTTTGGATTCCAACAGAGGGATATGGAAAGCTTGTGGCATGTGTTTTGAAAAAGTTTGCATATAGAGGGCAGCAAATGGGAAAAGCTAATCTTGTTGAGTGGCGGGAAGTACCTATCAGAAATACATTTTTGTATAGGAAAATTAAAACTTATCCTAAATAGCTTAAAATTTGTGACTATATATATCTGTTTATGCTCTCTAACTAATAATACCACCACAAAAGTTGTGAATCACTCAGCAAATGTGCAGTTTACATTACCATTATGAATTATGTAACACTTGAGCATCCCTCAGGAATAATTTTTTTATTTTTTCATTATCTATTTAATCTAACTTATCTAACCAAATAAGTTTTTAATGTTTACATTTTAGCTACTTTTATAATAAAAAGAAAATGCATGAAAAACAAGAAATATAGTACTCATGTGGGTCTTATTTTTTTGCTGTAAATAAAACTTAAGCCTACTTTTATATTAATGGTAGTATTACACTAAATAATTTTTATTTAATTAAATAATGCACTTAAGAACACAATAATGACATGCACAAAGCAAACAATGTTCTATAACTAGTATAATTTTTCTGGCTTTCTAACTATGCAACAAAAGCCTTTAAAAATTCAGCTAAGTTTGTCAATATGATTTCCAGGAGAAAACGTTTTAACTGGAGGCCAAATTGACAGTTCTCTTCACAGAAAACAATCTAATATAATATGTCATTAAGTAGATTAAAATTTTGGATTTCTAATGGTTATAAATAAAGATATTAAACATCAGGGAGATCTAGTGGCAATTTGTGAAAGATAGCAGATCTGACAGGTGGATGTAGCACATGAATCTGATTTTCTAGTTTATGACTATAAATATATAAGATGAAAGACTATAAAAGTTATGCTATGTCTGAGTAATATCTGTGTTATGATGAGTAATTTATGTTAAATTCTGTACTTCTTGGAAGTGTAGTAAATATATTAGAGAAGAAATTGAGGATTTTTGAAATATTTTTTTAAAAACTTAAAACTTAAATAATATTAAATTTTTATATATTATCTACATTTTGATGCCACATTTATTTATATACAATGATAATAAATTAGTTTAATTAAATATTGAATGTAACAAAAAGTCATGACATGCCAGTAGCAAGAGGGTTAATTTGTAATCTGCTGATTTAATGTACAATAAATACATCATCTTGGTAGAATCATGCATACCACTTGATGCTGCAGTCATGGCTATGCTCATACATTTTAAAGATTTTTTGGAGGGAAGAAATAAAGTTAGTTGTCAATAAAGTTTTCTGAAGACAACTAGTAACATAAATGTAAGGTATAGATCTTATTTAACACATTTTTAATTTCCTATGTATTTTTAGTTACAGATATTTGTTGGAATAATGATGTTTTGGTGACAGCATCCTCAGACTCCTCAGCTAAAGTAAGTTGTTTTTCTTTAAGTTTCTAAGATAAAGCTTTACTTAACTTTCAGTTAGCCTTCATTGGCTGATTCAACCGAGTTCATAACTCCAAAGTAACCATCAGAGTTTCCAAACTATAACTTTTAATATGTTTTGTGTGCATCTTCACAAAATTTGGCAATTTTTCAGTAAACATTAAAAGTTTTTTGTACACAAAATATCAGATATTTCAATTAAGTATTTTTACTAAAAATTTGTCTATGAATATATGGAGTCAAAGTGTTGACTGTTCCTAGTGCAAACTTCTTTTCATGTCAAGATTAAACATACTTTTCTGAAAATTGTCAAATTTCATTTGTATAATTTCTAAAACCTCCTAATTATATATCAAACATTTATATTTTATCTGTTATTTTCTCTGCCCTAAGTCTCTATGCATTGTAAACACAATAAAGAAATATGAAATAAATCTAAATTATCCTTTTTTCTTTCTAGTATGACTGCAGTTGTAACACGAAACAACAGTTGTTTATTCTAAATAACTTAAAGCCCATAACAGTATATATCTGTTTATACTTAAATTTTATTGTTTTATTTTCTTTTGACCTATGCAATACTCAAGTTACTGTATTGAATTATGTAATGCATGAGCTGTTTGTGAGCATACCTCATGGAGGATTTGTTTTTCCATTATATTACCTAATCTAACCTTGGATAACCTAATGAGTTTCTAATTTTTACATTTTAGTTACTTTTAGAATAGTAAGTAAAGAATATACATGAAAAACAAGATATATGGTACTTACCTGTCTACTGTTGTTTTTTGTTGTCAACTGTCAATGAAAATTAAGCATTCGTTTTATATAATGGCACTAGTGCACTAAATAATATTTATTTAATTAAATAATTCATCTAATAACACAGAATTATAACAAGCTGATAGTCCTATAACTATCTTAATTTATCTGGCTTTCTAATGCTAATTACTGATCAGTGTGACCACAAGTATCCATAAAAGTTAGAAATCTTTCAACAGGACTGTCAGCTTCCAAATATCTAACACAAGTGAGCTGATCAGTATTGCTATTATCTTCAGTAGAATCAATAAATACAGAAAAATATTTTGATAATTTTATCTTGGAAACAATAGTGCTCAGTATTAAGTTACCAATTATTTCAATGAGCTCCTCAGAAGTGGTCGATGACATGTAATTTGTACATCCACTTCCTTTGTTCTCATGTTTCTGTTTATGTTCTGCCAGCAAAGTGTCACACTCTGCTATAACTTCCATCATACCCGAGAAATTTCAATTCTTGCTTGGACCTTTTTTTCATTGTCATCATGGAAAGGAAGCCCACATTCCTCAAGGAACCTGATTACACTTACTACTCTCTGAAGTATTTTCTCCAATAATATGCTAATTCACCAGCTTGTTTTACCAGATGCTTATCAATTCTACTATTGTCTGTCATAAGTTTTGCAAATTTTATTATTGCATCACAATGAACCTTTGATTGTTCATAACCATCTAGAGAACGGCCGGCATTTTTTTCAATCATTGAACCCTTGAATCACCAGTGGACCTTGGCCTAGCTTCAATAAGTTTACAATGAATAACATAACTAGCTTTGATCAATTTTTCTCACCATTTGGATGAGTACAATCAAACATTTATATACTGCAAGAATGAGTACTTTTGCTTGATTTGGTGAAACCACTACCCTTGTTTTGTAACACATTTGGACCTCCCCTTACCCAATAATTGATCACTTCACAAGTCACATGAAAAGGCCATAGACCAATGTCCAGTTCAAGTCCTAGAAGTTTTTGCTGTACTTCAACTGACTCTGATTCTGTTTGAGGAGTTTCTTGTGAATCAGAGGCATCGGAGACTGAGTAACAACTGAACCTTCAGTATTATCTTCATTGTTAGATTATGATGGCTGTGATTGAGTAAAGTATTCACCAATTGTTCTATATTTTTTGACAACTTCCTGATACTTTTTCACTTTTTTCATGTACTAATTTCCTCTTTTGAGCACCACTAATATGTTGTCATGAAGTATTGAGTCGATGCACTCATTTCTGTAACATACATAATAATACAAAAAACAATAATATAATAAAATAGAAAATACATAAAATATTCTATATATTTTATGTGTGTGTCGCTGTATATGTATGTGTGCATGCAGGTGTGTGCATTTTGAATGTATATCGTATGTGTGTTTGTATTGTGTAGCTGCATATCTTCTAAGTATATCTTTGCATATATGTATTTATATGTGTACGTGCGGGTGCTAGTGTATGTATATTGTATATATGTATGTATTTTCATGTAAGTGCTTATATATGAATATTGTGCAGTGTGCACGGTTTGTAGAAGAGGATGGTATATGGACCTATGTGCATGTGTGGATGAGTTTGGTGAGTTGGGGATGATCTGCCACCTGCCAGCTTATTTGTTACATTCTGGGAACTCCTGGAGCAATGTTGCCAATCAGGCAAGCTGAGACCATCAAGTGGTTTGGCTTAAGCTAATGCCTGAAAGCACTATTATACTTACAATAATTACACTTGTTTTCTATATTTAATCATTTGTAATAATCTATATTCTATTTCTGGCCATGCAGGTGGAATTCACCTATAATAGAACAGTTAAAACTATAGAAATAAAAATCACTTTAGCCTAATTGTTTACATTTCTTAATATTAATATATAAAAAAAAAAACTTTGTGGAGGCCCCTAAACTGGAGAGGCTTGGAGACAGTTGCCTCATGGTAAATCCAGCATTGTGTTTAGGCAAATTATGTAAATAACATATTGACAACATTACCAATAGTCTTGGAGATAACTAACAAAGTAAAGAAAAACAGATGAGGAAAACTATCACATAAAACAAAAGTACTAATGAAAGAAATGACAAATAATAAAATAAGTTAGATTAACTTGCAACAGAAAGAATACACAGGTAAATGTAAAACTTTCAGAAAAGAAGTGCAATATAGAACTGGTAAATAATTTTGGAAAAATGAGCTATAGAAAGAAATAAGTAATGGGAAAATGTCAAGAAAATATAATAGTAATTACAGGTAATAACTGGGAAGTACCACATGAAAATGAAAAGAGTTGAATTAGAACTGAAGTTAAAATGGATACATTGATACAAGAAGACACTGATCTATGAAAACCCAAAAAGACACTTGACAGAATTCTGATGGACGTTTTTGAAATGTGGTGAGGAAGCTGTTAAAAGAACAACTTACAATAATATTTACAAGCTGCATTCAATCTAAAACAATACCAGAAACATGGGAGGTGGAAAACATACCTGTTATTTTCACAAAGAAAACAATAACTGTAGGTGGAAAGTAGATCAAGGAAGTTCATAAGTATATATGTCTTGGAAAAGACGCTATTTTAAATGTATATCCAGTAAGAAATTCAAATAAGAATAATAAGAGCAAGCTGGACAGCATTTACAAAATTTGATTATGTTCTTTTGTAAAAATATAATGTCAGTATGTCTAGAGGAAAAATGTCTAACACCATCAATAGCATATGGGAGATTAATCAAGAAAGCGGATAAAACTTTCAGTAACCCGTAGAGATATGAAAAGAAATATGCTAGGAATTATAATATTGCATAGAAAAAGAAACAACTGTATCAAGGAGAGAAAATAATGAGAGATAAAGATAGAGTAGAGTTGTAAAAGTTGAAAACGTTGGAGATGGGTAGCACGCATAGGTAGACAAGAGGAAAGTTGATTGAATGGAATGCAACAATATGGCAGCCAGCTATTGCTCAACTCAGGGAAGATAATGGCTTAAGAAGGTAAAATAAATCTATGCAATGAAATTAGAAGCATGGACTACCATGTTTGCATTCCCCCTTCCTACCATTACCAGAATTTGTTTTTTCCTTCTGTTTCTTGGTTATGAGGTGAAGACTGTTTGGACTCTCCTCCTATCTCAGACTGAAAGACGAATACCCAACGCTGCTTGGTTTTGGATTGGTGTTGACCCACTGAATGTGGTCTGATGTGCCCTAGCCACTCTACATCATCTGGTATGTCCAGTTACACGTTGGAATGCTTCTTTTCCACCTGATCTAGTGACATGTATTTTGAAAATGAGCAAAGAGTATACCTGTTATAGATGGGGTGTGGTCTCCCATGTGTGTGACCCTACACATTACGGTGTCACATTACATGGGCTATCTTCAATTATCTTCTGAAGAATACTCATCTATTTAAATTTTGCACTGGTCCCTCCACCATTTCAGTGTGTGATTTTAGTTATTATGTGAGAAGAGGGTAGGTATCATATCAGAAGTTAACATTTTCCTACACTGAAAATGTATCTCCGATAGATACTTCCTCTCACACTTCCCACCCATACTCCCCACTTCCAGTGTGTCTTTTTTGCCTAATCTCAAAAGAATGATAGTGCTCAACAGTATAGAGGGAATCAGCTGGACTAGGAGGGTGTGTTGCACTCCTATTGGTGGAGGATTGTCGCATGCTCATTTGCATGCTATAGCACAGCTCTACCACATTAAATCACGTGAGGGTTAGTGGAAGCATCAAGGCTAGTGGTGAGCAAAAAATTTTGCAAAAAGAGGGTAGCACAAGTCAAGAAAAGGTATTATGTGAGGGGAAGTAAGTATCTATTGGAAATACATTTTCAGTTTTGGGAAATGTTAACATTCATATTTATTATATATTGAAAACTTTTAGTAGTTTATACTGGTAAATTGTTTTTGTTTTTTTTACAGGTATGGCACTATGGTCCCCACCAGAGTCTCCGTATGCATTCCACAGCTGACTTATTGGTAAGTCATATAAACATACCTATGGCATTAGAGTATGTTTACCTTTAAATGAGCACTTTAAATGCCACAAACTTGTTTCAGAACTCTCAAATTACCAACTTCTGTTTATACGCTGATTTTTCCAAGCCCGTTCCCTTGGCTGTGGTTTCGCTAGATAGTAGATAGGGACAGTGGGAATCTCATATTAATTTTATATTTTATTATTTTCTATTCCTGTTGAATACTCAGTATAAGGAAGTGAATAAAAGAATTTGGTGAAATGACTCATTTTCTATGTAAGATGTCTCGAAATTCCAGCAAAATAGAAAGAGTTATTGCAATGTTGGCAATATTTTTATTGTGTTTTTTTATGTGACCCTATAACCAACGAAGTTATAGATCCACAAGCATTTTGATATGTAAATAGTTTAGAAAAAGTGTATTTAAAAAACAAAGGAGCTCATATGGACCCCATTGGTAGTTTTAGGATAAATGCAGTTTAAGACAGTTATTGAATGTATGAGATGCTATAATTTATATTTCTTATATGTTTACTTGTGCCAGTCAAATTACAATAAGCTTGTGCCATACAGTAAACTAGTTCTAACTTGTGAAATAGTGTATGTATAGAATTCTATAGCTGAAAAAGAACTTGAGCTCCAAACAAATATACTGTCTATAAACAAACAAAAATCATTAGTTTGCAATATGTAAGATAAGTACACACACACACTGAGTATGTGAATTCAATTTCTGTAGGCAGAACTGGATCATGAGGCTGGGGTCAGCTGTGTTACTCTGGACAGTAGTAACACTCTTTTAGTGAGTGGCACAACTGATGGACATATTAACATATGGAACTTGTCTTCTTTCAGTCTCATCGATAACTTTCCAAGTAAGTTCTATAAACGCTAGTTAAAAGTTTTCAAGTAGTTTTAATTCAGTAATTTAGGAATCAACTATCTAGTAAAAACTGACATTTTTTGGCACAATGAAAGGTAAAATCTTTATTATTAGCTACAGCCGACTAGTTTTGGTAACACGGTAGTATTTGATCATGATAATGGTGTTACTGACACAAATCAGCTGTAACTAATATTAAAAATTTTACCTTTCATTGTGCCAGAAACATTAGTTTTTATGTGCTTTTTTATTCTTAATACATAAAAATAATTTCAAATCTTTGAATCAGCTGAAATATATCTTAATTCTACAAACAAGCAACCTTGTAACACCATAATTAGTTTGTTCTTTTTTGTTTTAGTATTTAATTGGACACTCAGAGCTTCACTTTACAGTTTCTTGAAGGATGAAGAAATTCTAACTGATTTTATTGCATACATTTGACATTATACGTGGTAAAACATTGTTGAAAATTTATGGAATCAATTAGAATTTCGTATATAAACCAACTAAAGTCTTGAGTAAGGAAGCATGTTATGCTAATATAATAATAGGCAAGCAAACAATCATTTATAAGCATGATATGAATTATTTATTTACCTCAGTACCTATTGAATAAGCTTTACACTGTCTAAAAGGAAAACTAGAGGAAAATCCTGTAACAGAACACCTTTTCAACCTCACAGAATATTGCTTAAACAACACTTACTTATGAAGGCCAGTTTTACAAGCAAAATAATGGATTTGTGATGGGAACCCCTTTTCCCCTCTACTTAGTGACCTCTACATGTCCGTTCTAGAAGAAGAACTGTTTGGAGACATATTCATACACACCAAACCTGAAATCTGGTTGAGATACGAAGATGATATTTTCAGTATATGGTGACATGGGAAAGAGACACTACTCAATTTCATTGAATTCTTAAACACATTAAGACCCAGTGTCATAATCCAACAGTTGTCTTCCCTTTTTAGATGTAAATGTAAAAAGGGAAAAGCATAAAGTTACCATCGTATATACAGGAAACCCCATACCGTGACCATGTTGCCACACGCAAGATCTAATCACCACCTATCACAGAAAATATCCTCCTACTTCACCTACATAAGTCATGCTGTACAACTTTGCTTCCACAAAGAATACTTACTTATTAAATTGAACTACCTAAAGAACATAACACTATCTAGAGGTTTCAACCCAAATAGATAGGGCTTGTATCAAACTTCCAAACATTGAAAAATTTTGTTTTAACTCTAACCTTTCAACTGTCAACAATAAAAAATGTAACAAATCTGTTTCATTCCTTTTTGTGCCAGAAATTGCTAATGAAATTACTAGCCTTTTTAATAATTTCAGCACTGATATAAAACTGTATTCAAACTTTCATATGAAATTAGCATCTTACTATCTAGCGCAAAATAAACCCCATTAAAAGAACAAAAACAAGGCATATACATTATCCCATGTGAATGGGGAAAGAAATACATAGGACAAATGTCATGTTCCTTAACAATATGATACAAAGAACACCAAGGTTACAAGTGTAGTGGTGGATTCCAGATATCTGCCTTAACAATTTATCAATATGAAACGGGTCACAAAATACTCTGGGATGAAATTCTCCTCCTACACCAACCCAAAAATAAAAAAGAAAGTGACTGTTTAGAAACTATAGAAATCATCAAAGCAAATGATCTCTCACTAACCCATGATAGTAGCCATAGCAACATAAGCTGTATTTGGCAAGGTCTATTCACTGTTCATATACTTGATCAGACTTAACCTCTACCTGTATCCTGTCAACTGCTGACACCATTTTTGTCACTTAATTCATGTGTCTTTGTAAGATATATAGACCATATATTGCTTAGTACTGATCATACCTGAAGAAGACAGACCAATGTTCTGTCGAAATATGTAGTATATTCCGCCATCAATAAAACTTTTCTTATGTTTATAAATCATTCTTTTCCTGCCTGTTATTATAACCAACTGAAGCTTTGTACTGTCAGTTACTGTTTGTGTTTCTGTGAAGCATTCCTAAAGAAGCTGAAAACTGTCCAATTACCTCTTTCAGCATGGGCTCAGTCCCTGGGATGGCCTTGCATGGCCTGGTGGTTAGGGCGTTCGACTCGCAATCTGCGGGTCGCGGGTTCAAATCCCCATCCCACCAAACATGCTCACCCTTTCAGCCGTGGGGGTGTTATAATGTGACGGTCAATCCCACTGTTCGTTGGTAAAAGAGTAGCCCAAGAGTTGGTGGTGGGTGGTGATGACTAGCTGCCTTCCCTCTCGTCTTACACTACTAAATTAGGGATGGCTAGCATAGATAGCCCTCTTGTAGCTTTGCACGAAATTCATAACAAACCAACCAAGCAAACCAGTCCCTGGGACTGACCTCATAACCATTATGTTAACAAAGTTTGGTAGATTATCAGTATACATTACAATGCTTTCATATGCAAAATATAAACTTTTTTTTATCAAGTCTTAAGATTTGTAAAGCAATGTTTTTTATGCTTTTCTTTTCGCATGTTGCCTATCAAACATGCAAAGTAATTTTCATTTTAAGATTAAAAATATTTTTTTGGGTCAGAAAATTTTCTAATTTCACATGCGAAATCTTCATAATGTAGAGATAGTTATCAAATGTCTCTTAAGAAAAAACTATATTTTATCTGTTATTTTCACTAACGAATCTCTGTACAGGTTCTGTAGATTTGACTGATCTCGCAACCACCATAAAAAATTAGGAAATAAATATAAATTATGCAGCTTTCATTCTAGAATGACAACAAATTATAACATGAAAACATAAACATTTAGACTAAATAGCTTAAATCTCATAACATTATACATTTATATATATATTTATTATATTGTCATTTCAGCCATGCTTGGCTAACAATACAGAAGTTACAATGACACACATGCACTCATGTTACCATATCCAATAATATAAAACTGATCTTTAGTCTTTACAAAGTGACCTGTCTTGGCTGTATTTTAGTAGACTAGTATTTTTTAAATACAGTCACATTTCAATTAGTATACATTATATATGTATATAGATTATTGCTATTTAGAAATAAATTCTTAAACTTGTTTTTCTTAAAACATAAAACAGTAAATAAAGAAGTAAAGCAAACAATTATCTCTTCTAGTTATGACCTTTGTACTAAGTTGCTGCTTGATGTGGGTTGCTAAACCTTTTAAAATTTTGCATGTGGAGGATATGAAACTAAATAATTTTTTTAGGTTTTATATATACAGTTGAATAACCAAAAAATCATTAATTACTACATTAATACCATAGAATGCCACTATAATTTATCAAGTTTAGTAACTAAACTGTATTTGGGTTTAAAAAAATATCAAATTTCAAGCAGACTAAAGACACAACCTACCACCTTGAAATCTTGGTTGAAAGAAAATGATGACATCCTAAGAATTTAAAATGGCTAAGAAAGCCTCTAGGGGACATTTTGAGCTTTCGATTGGTCATTCATGTCATATATAGAAGTAAGTGTATATAAGGGAGCTTTTCCAAAAATTGAAAGAGGTTAGTGGGGTGCCACTCTGTTTGATTTATTACATGAGCAATATCTTTGCAAATAGAAAAGATAAGAGGTTCTTATTTTATATTATAGCTTATCAATATCTGTAATTTGAGATTTTAATTTGTACAAAACTGTAGACCAAGTATTTTGACTTCACAAACATGTAATTTGAACCAGTGCTGCATTCAACATACCATGTGACACACAAAAATCGATGTTTAAGTGTGTTTTTTAATATTTACTTTTAAATTATGAAATTGAGTAATGAACAATACAAAAATTTGAATTATC